CTGCGACCAACTCAGAACCAGACACCCAGAATGCCCAGCACTGCTGAGGATGCTGACCAGCTGAGAAGCATAGATTCCACAGCAAAGATTTCTGAACATCTCTGCTAATAATCCCGTATCACAGCATTATCCTCATTAAAGTGTTTGAGACTGGGACTACAAGGCCATTCAAACACCAAAAGCTGGTGCTGCTGCAAGAAGCAAGATGTGATGTGCAGAAGTGCTCAAGCACAATTCCATGGGGAACAGTCCAACCACCAGCAAAGCAGTGTGCCACACAGTGCACAACACCGGGCACCTGCAGGTGGAGGTGGGAGAGGAGGTGGGATGTGGCGGGAAGGGGAAGGTGCTTCCTTGGGAAGCAGTGCAGAACGTAAATATTTAACAAAGCTACAATCAGAAGCCAGGAAGTAACACTTAAAACAACACAAAGGAAGGACTGCGATGCTCACAAAAAGAACATGCACTATTCCTTAAGTTTGTTTTTTTTCTTGAAGCACATTTTAGGAAGAAAAGCAGTAAGAATTCCTGGAACTACTCACTTCAGCAGTAGTAGCAGTTCAGCCATGCTGAAGGTTTGGAGCGGGCTGATGCACACCAAGGCATGGCAGCCTGAGCCCCAGGCACACACAGCGGTGGTTCTGCTGGCTGCGTGCACACGGGACACAGCTTCCAGAGTAAAGCTCAGTGCAGAAGGCACGCTGTGTTCTGGGGAATGGGAGCACTGGATCTGAAACTTCTGCACTTCCACATCTTTTGCTCCCATCACTGAGCAGTGGTAGCTCCCAGGAAACCCTCTTATCTGTGTCACCCAGCCAAAGCCGTTCATTTCACCTTGGCCATCACTGACCTTCACGTTTGAATAACCTGCTACTGGTAACTCTGTCTATAATTTGTCCTGTAAGGTGCTTAAGCCACCACCTCTTCCTCTCCCCACCAAACCCACCTGCTGAACAGTGATGCAGCTGATTCAAGTTTTTACAAAAGCAGCAAGTTTTTACAAAGACACAAACACCTGAGTTACAGAGATTGGTTCAGACCCAGACAGCGTTCGTGGTTTCTCTGTACCTTCCACAGTGCTTTGGGAACTGTGGTGTTATTTGGGCCATGGTGAATAAAAGAGAAGAGCTCCATCCGAATGATAATGAGAAGGAATAAGGAGTGTGTGATCTGTGAACGAAAGCACCTACGTTTCAAAACACCACGTTTGTGAAGTGGCTGCTGCCAAAGCTGTTAGCAGCCTTTGCTCTTACCAGAAATCTAAAACCTTCTATCCTGCAACTTTCTTCCTTTCGAAAACTTACTCGAGTGGGAGGGACACCAGCGACACAAACCTGTTGATGGGCTGTCCAGTTATGATACGTACCTGACAGCCACTAAGCTGGCACAGCCTGGCCTGCTCTGACCCCCCAGCCAGGCGCTGCGCACCACGCGATAAGGCCCCATCCTGCTCACACGCTGCCACTTTCATCAGCAAGCAACCCGAAGCGTTCTCAGCACATTACATATATTTCTATATAGAGATGTTTACAAATATCTTAAGAGCGAGACAAAGGGACACGGCCAGCCTCTTTTCAGTGGTCTGTGGGGACAGCACTAGGGAAAACAGCCATAAACCAGAGCACAGGAAGCTCTGCACCAATACGCGAAGGAATTTCTTCACAGTGAGGTGACAGAGCACTGGAACAGGCTGCACGGGGAGGTTGTGGAATCTCCTTCTCTGGAGATATTCAATACCCATCTGGATGCTGAGCTGTGCAGCCTGCTGTAGGAGGCCTGCTTGCAATGGGGGTGGACTCGATGATCTCCACAGGGTCCCTTCTTACCCCTACAGTTCTGTGAAACAGGCTTCAGTTCACAATAATGGACTGTAAAAGCACAGAAACATTTCTGTAGAACCACTCATGATAGCATCCTTTGGATTAGAGTTATGGGGAAAAGGAAGAGTTATAAAGATCTGTGTTGAAGACTACAAAATGCATTCCACAACCCTCTGTTCATTTTCATGTATTTCCTAATGAAGGCACACTGATAGCACTGGGATATGCAGCTCTGAACCTTCCCTTAGCAATGGCTTGTCATGCCAACATCTGCCAGCCTAAGCTCAGCTCAGAACCCTCCCTATTTCCCAGTGCTATGGCTAGGAGGGTGCTTCAAAACTCTTTCATAACCCTGCCTGTATCTCCTACAACCGTTATATAACAGTGATACTGGGAAGAGTTACTATGGAGATTGGAAAGCTTCCCTTACGGCAGGACAGAAAGATGCAGCTTTATTCCTGATATAACAGCAATAATTAGAACACAGATCCTGACAAGGCAGTGCTCAAAACAGAAAGCTTCTCCAAAGGCTTTTGCTAATGAGACAAAAAACAACAAAGCTCAGCTGTTTGCAATTTTGGTCCTGCTCTACAAATGACAAGCAGGTAGGCATGCACACAGGTTAGGTGACGACACAGTTAGTCACCACCCAGCAAAGGGCTGTCCCCTTCTGCTGCTGTGCCAGCAGGATGCAGCTGATCTGCACGGCACACTCACTCACTGTCTGCAACACCAGCTCCCTTCTCTTACATAATTCACAAGCGGATAGAAGCTACCCGAGCTCACCCATGTAACACTGAAGCACATGGCTGCGCTCTGCTCTGTGGGCACTGCTACAACTCTGCAGAGATGGACGGACCTCAGGCAGGAGATCTCCAGGTATGCGTCTGACGGTGCAGTGCTGTGTGTCAAGGTACAACAGTTGCAGCCTCCCCACTCATCTGTCAGCAGAAACAACATGCTTCTGCTCATATTTATGACTGCTTGCTAAGTTGCTACTTTCCTAAATTAAAATACTGTCGGCATATGTAACAAACGTGCTCTGGTTAAATGCGCCAAATGCTCTCCCCAGTAAAGCTGCAAGCTCCTAAAATCTCTCAGTTCAAAAAAACACTCAAGGGTGATAACACTAAAAAAAGAAGAAAAAAAAAAACCAAAAAAAACTCAAGCCAGGCCCTGCCCTGCTAACCTCTGCCTTCACATCTGTTCCTCCAACGTGTCTGTGGGCACAGGAATGCTCAGCACTGTGCTCAGAGTGGCCCTGTTCTGAGCTGCCAATCTCAGCTGCCTGCAGCTGCTGCTGTGTGCCTGATCCCACACAAGCGAGCCCATCCTCTACAGTGTTCCTGCTCACAGCTCTATCTTCAGCTGGGATGGTGTAACTACTGACCCTGTCTCGCTATTGTTACTTGAAGATGGATTCAGATATTTGCAGCGCCTTCCTGAAATGTATTAGGAATAATTTACTTTACTTTTTTCATACTTTACTGAGCCTCAGGGAGAAAAACACAACTCTGAGCCAGCTGTATCAGGTACAGAGACAGATAACCAGAATGGCACTACCTGCCAAAGACGCATAAAGGCACACAGCATTCACCTGCTGCTAAGCCGTGGCAGGGCACAGACCCTTATCACACAACCACCGGAGCAAGGACACCGTGCTGCGGGAAGGGCACTCACCCGCCCTGGGCAGTTACTCCCCCACACCCGAAGTGACATCAATCCATTCACAAAGAACTCTGCCCGGTGCCACAGCGACGCGGCCGCACCGCAACCCCCCGCACACCGCTCGCAGCCCCCGGCCCGCCCCAGCACGGAGCCGCACGGCAATAACGGGAGCGGAGGCGGCGCCCCGGGCCGGGACTCACTGTTGTACTGGACTCCTTTGGCGAACCTCCTCTGCAGAGCCTGGTTCATGGACTGCAGCCCCGCGGGGATGTTCTTGTCTCGGACCGCCGCCTGGTCCGAGCCCACCAGCTTCTTCAGCGCCGAGAACATCGTTCCACTCCCGCGCCTTCGCCGCCGCTACAGGAAAAGGGCCGCCGCCGCCGCGGGCTCAGGGGCAGCGCGGCCCCGCGGGGACCATAGGGCCGGGCGGCGCTCAGAGCCGGGGCAGGGCCATGGGGTGCCAACGGGGCGCGGGGCGGCGCGGCGGGGAAGGGGCTCGGCCGAGCCCCGCCGTGTACCGGGACGGGGCGCTAACCGGGCATGGCCCGCGGCGGGCGGCTCCTGCGGGCGGCGGTGGCGCGGAGGGTCGGGGAGCGGCTCAGCCTCGCCGGACGCCGCTCAGGGCCGGGCGCGGAGCTCCCGCCGCCGCCATCTTGCCTCTTCCGCTTCGCCGCGAGAGACGGAGCGCGCGCGGCGCCGCTACGGAAACCGCCAGGGGCCAAAAGACGGCGGGACGCGGAGCGGCGGCGGGGGGCGGGTCTCGAGCACCACATCCCGCAGAGCCATCGCAGCCCCTTTAGCCCTCTCTTCTGACCCCAGGGCCTCGCCGTCACACCCACATGCCCCCGAAGTTCCGTTTTGTGACCCCCCCCGGCAGCCTGTGGCCCCAAGCCCGCAGTCCCGTGCCCCCCTCATCCCGCAGCTTGCTCCGACCCCCAAATCCGCTCCCATCACCCCTTTGGGATGCTCCTCCCTCCCCACACCCCTCGTTGTCTCTCCCGCCCCATTGACCCCTCAGCCCCTGTGCCCCCCACCTCCGTTTCCCAGCTGGCACCGTGGGCTCCAGCTGAGGCACGAGGTGCTGTGGGGGCTCTGAGCCCCGCATTGCTGGGCTCCCCGTCAGAGCTCCAGGGGAGCCCGTATTGTCTGGGGGAGCAGGACTGGAAGGCAGTGAGGCACTCACACCTGTGGGATGGGCCTGAGGATGTGTGGCACTGAGCCTTGATGCAGAGCTCCACGGTCCCACTGTGCCCCTGCCCAATGTGACAGTGGTGCAGCACGGATTATTCACCCTCAAAGAGAAGCGGGTGCCTGTCCCCCTTCACTGCCCCTTCCCAGCTGACCCAGGACGCACATCCAGCGGGATGGTTGAGGCTGAGATATGGGCAGGGTCTCAGGACAGGAGGGACCCCCACCAGGGAGGCCAGCAATGACTCAACAGCATCTCCTGCCTCTCCTGGAGCCCCCTGCCCAGCTCCCTGCCAGCTCTGGGATGGACAGTGGGCTCATTGGTCACTTCAGAGACATTTATTGTTGGAGATAATTCCCGTACAGGCAGGAGCTCCTGTGAGGCCCCAGCTCCTGTGCTCAGTGTTCGTCCTTCACCCTTGTCAGTTTGACAGACGCAGAAACTCCTCATCCTCTGCAAGCAGAACAGTGTGCAGTGTGACAGACAGACCCACAGACACCACCCTCACCCCCACTCATACCCCACGAACAGGTGATGGCTGATGCTTCCTGCTTTGTCCTGATTGGCAGTGATAGGGAAAGTGGTTCAGACCCTCTGCACATCCCCTTGCTGTCCTGAGATGTCACTTCATGTCCCACCATAGTGGCATTATTGCACTTCAAACTGGCAGCAGGATAATAGAAAACAGATTCTGCTCCATGACCCCTTACTTTGTCCCCATCTCCCACCTCTTGGGCTACCAGCTCCACTTGCCACATCAAGACGAGGGTCACCCAGGGCTGTAGCTAATCACTCTCTGCAGTAAAATCTTCCCTGCTACATTGCTGAAAATGAGATTGCTTGTCCATCCATCCTGGGGGCAGAGCAGTACCGTTGAACCTCACAAAGAGGAAACTTCTGTGCTGACTAAAGCTGGAGGGTGATCATACAATCATGGAGAGTTCATCCCAAGCGGGTTCCCCTGTTCGGTCCCTATCCAGTGTCAGGATTCCTAATGCCTCCAAATCTTTCAGCTGCTCCTCCTGTTGACACCTCCACTGCTCCCTGCTGTGCTCTGCCCTGCTTACAGCCTTCCCCCCTGTTATCGTGAGCATTTTGAAGTACAGTCCTGGCCTTGGTGCATTTGTAGCTCATACAGTCCCTATATGTGATGTTGCTGTAGATTAACAATCTTTTTTTCTCAGTCCATCAAAGTCTCTGGCCCAGGATGGACCAACCACAGCTGCAGGAATGCCCAGCACAGGGACACAGCCTCAAGCAGGATGGGATGCACAAGCAGCGCCTGCCTGGTCCCCAGCAATAAGCCATACCTGCCTGTGGAGGAGCCCCGCAGTACTCCTTGCACTCCTTCTCTGAGTAGAACTTGTTCCCATTGCCTTTGCAGCCTCCATAGCTGAACCTGATGCACTTGCCCTGAGCCGCATCAAAGGCCCAGCGTATCACTGGTTTCTGGCAGGGCCCCTGGGCAATGGGCAGCCTGCAGGCAGCTGTGGGGAGAGGAGACTGTGGAAGGCTGGCAGAACCGGGATCCTTTGCTGCACACACAGGGCTCGGGGCCAGCCGCAGTTCCTTCTGCAGTGTCCCCTCTCTGTGTCCCCTCGCCCTGGTGTGGCCCCATTCCCACTCACCCTCGGTCCGGCAGGCCTGCAGGCACTCCTTCTCTGAGTAGAAGTTGTTGCCGTTGCCCAGGCAGCCGCCATAGAGGAAAGTCTCACAGGCCATGGAGGAGGTGTTGTAGAAGAAGCGGGAGAGCATCCCGCTGCAGGGCCCCGGGTCCCGGTTCAGCCGGCACGCGTCTGCAGGTGAGCGCAACGCGGGTTGGAGTGGGCGATGGGGGCATGGGACCCACCACAGCCCCTCCACCAGGACCCACCTTCTTTGTTGCCAACATACGTGGGCAGAGGGCCTGCAGCTGAGCCCTCCTCGGGTGGCAGCACTGCTCTCCGTGTTCTCTGCTCCAGGAGGAAACAGACAGCTGCCATCAGCCATGCCAACCCCACTTCCCTGGTACCCCCACGTGTCTCCAGACATCTGCCTGGAGTCAGCAGGCCATGGTCACTCCACGCCTCATGGCATTCCCAGCCCTGTATTGATCCCAGGCGGGGACTAGAATCAAACATTTTGGATGATGACACTCAAAGTGCAACAGCCATGCCCTGTGCTGGGCTCAGCATGCATCTCTCCTCACACTGATACATAGTGTGCATCCTCCAGGTCTTATATCTGCCCTGAACTGTGCTGTTTCTCTTACAAAGTTCCGTCTCCTCTTGAAAATCCTTCTAAACGCAACACAATGAGACTGGGACATGCTGGGTGATAGCAGTCAGAGCATCAGCAGGGCAATGAGCTGCCTCCCCCACCACAGAGGGGAATCCCCAGCCCAGCTGGAGCACTCATGGGCAGGCAAGGGGTAAGGAGACACCAGGCTCCCTGTACAGGAATCTACCCCGTGAAAGAATCAGAACAGGAAAGAGACATTGCCTTCCACTTGGAAGTGAGCCTTGGTGCCACCTGAAGCACTCAGGACTCTCATCCCTGCAGCCTGTGTTCCATCCTCTCTGGCAAACCCCATCCCCAGTCTTGATCCATCTCAGAAGGTTCTAGCTGGATCACTCACCTCAGGGGCAGTGACAGTCTCCTGTGGGACACATTCACCTAGCCCAGATGACAAGAGAGAAGGTCAGAAGCTTGAGAGTGGTGGCTTTTCAACAAAGTCCTCTCACCATGGCCCTACACTGTGCTCTTACAGGTCCTTCAGGAAGGGGTTCCCTCCTGGCTTCACCCTAACACCCACTCTTGCAGTTCTCTACCTCCTGCTCTCAGAAGTACTACCCTAAAATCCCCATGCCTATATGCATCAAGCATTTGCTGTCACTCCCTGTTGAGCAAGGCACCCATCACATCCTAGGAGTCCACAGCCACGGGGAGAAGCTGTGGGTGTTCCTGCAGTGTCCTGCTCCAGATATATGAATGGCTCCAGAACAGCCATGTTGGGTTGCATCAACCTGACAGCCTAGAAAGAATCCCACCAACTACCCTGGATATTGCAGAAAACTGGGTGCTAGTGGAAGCCTGGCTGATTCTTAGCCTCGTCCCCTTCCTGCCCCGTCCCAGCAAAGCCCTCGTTTGTCCTCCCTCCATCCTGGCTGTCTTTTCTCCTCATCCTTGTGTACCAAGAAGGAACAGCCTCAGCACACTGTCACACTGAGGACACAGGCAGCAGGAGAGGTGCACACCGCACACAGGTTACCTTTGTTGGCCAGGATGAAGATGGAATCTGCAGGGATGCCCATCTCCAGAGCCAGCTGCTGGAAAGCCTCGGTGAGCTCTTCCCGCAGCTCTGGGCTTCTCCCTGGGTGACGGCAAGGAAAGGACTGTCAGCTGGTGTCTGCTGCTTCCAGATCTGAGTTTTTCCCACACAAATCGTGTTCATCTCAAACAACAGTCTGCTCTCAATGTTCATTGTATGATATGTCTCTAAGCTGAGCCATAAAACTCCACCTCATTTGATGCCAGAGTTGACTGAAGGCACCAGCTCCAGAGCCATAGAGCAGTGTTACTGAGTCCACCCCAGAGTTTGCTTGCCCACAGTGCCACAGCAGACATACCATACAGCTTCAGTGTGGTGGTTGGGCCAAAATTACTTGTCTTCTTCATCAGAATGACTGCGTATTCTTCATAGTTGGTGCGAAGCACGTAGGACTTGATAGACACATCCCACTCTGGGTGAGAAAGAGATACAAAGGACATCATTGCTACCCTTAGGGAGGAACAGGGGTGTAGAAGGCAGTCCCAGAACTGGGGAGTGAAATCAGGCAGCTAATTCAAGAAACTGTCAGATTACTGGGAGGCAGCTACTGACCTGGGCACAACCCTGACCCTGACCTCACCATCCTCTTGTTAGACAAGGAGACTGGAATCCTAGGGTGGCAGATAATGGGATACCATCAACGCTCCTGAAACATGGCTGGGGGGTGCTTATCCCATCTTGGAACCCTGGGGATGGGAGGGATCTGCTGGAATACCTCATAATCCTGTACCTGCACAGGCAGCTCTGAAGCAGCCCCCCCGAGACCTTACTCCCTGCTTTCTTGGTTGGAAATGACCTGAACTATGGAGAGTCTTCCTCTTCATTGAGCCCTGCTGCCCTGAACCACTCTCCTAGCCACCAGCTGTGTCATCTTCTGAGGTCCAGACCTGATTCATACCCCCTGACTGCACAGTGGCTCTCGGGACCCAGTAGGCCAGCAGCGAGCCCAACTTACTGGGGCTATAGTAGGTGTATTTGCCAGGGGTGCCGGTTTTCTGGTACTCTCCTGAGACGCGTTTGCAGTCACCTTGCCTGGAGGGAGGAGGAAAACAACCATCTGATTGGAATGACCTCTTTTTTGTTTATCTTATGATAAACAAAAACACGATTTGCTGGAGCACCAAAACTGGCCATGGCGTAGGATCCCTGAAACCCCTGAGCAACCACAGCAATGCCCATACCGCAGCCTGGTGCTGATGGTACTGATCTGGTCAGTGCTGGGGCCAGGGCCCAGCACCAGTGTGCCCATGCTGAACTTCTCCTTGTAATTCTTCATCCACTTGCAGGTGGTGGCAACAGCTACGTCATACCATTTCCCATACATCTGTGGGGAAAAAAAGAGATGACTCCACCACGGGATCCCTCCAGTGAGGTAGGGCATCCCATAGCTTTCTGCAGAGCCGACATTCTCGTGGCCAGGAAGTAAGTTGGTGAGCTATGGTGCAGGGTGTCGTGGCAAGAGCTGCTGAAGGAAAGTGATCAGCACTCAGTAGGATTTCCAACTCCATGGTCACCCATCTCACATGGCTTCCCAGGCTTTTGAGCTTGGATCTAAACAGTCTGAGGAGCAAGCTGGACACTTGTTCCCATGGATGCTCACACTAGCAGAGCTCTTTCTCCTGCTCTCTGCCTTGGTTTCTTGTGTAGGGGCTAGGCAGTCCTTTGGGAACTGAGAGGGGTCTCCAAGCTCAAGACAGTGTCCCTGTGTCCTCCGCCCACCAGGCAGGGTCTCATGCCTGCTGTGTGCCCCAGGAGAGCCCAGACCCTTGCTGCTGGGTGTGCACAGCCAGGCAGGGTACCTGCTGGAGACCCACAGGCCTGCTCCCAGGCAGAATGCATCCCGTAAACACTCTGCGTCTCCCCACAGCTCAGGCTGGGCTGATGAACAGGCTGGGACTCGTTTGCCCTGTCCGTGTGTTTGCTGGGGTGAGGCCATCCCAAGGGCTGGGTCCCCATGACTGGCATCAAGGGAGGCCTGCCCCGCACAGCCCATTATGGGAAATCATCTTCCTTTTGGGAGGAAAGTGAAACAAAACTTCCCCCATCCCTTCTGCCCCCAAATTCCAGGGACCGCCAAGCCACTTTACCCGCTCAGGCTCAAAATTCTCCTGCACTTGGATGTCCTCATCCTGGTCACCAATGGGCGTCCCGCTGGCCACAGCAAAGAGGAGGAAGGAAAGAAGACCCCAAAACATCATGCCTGGAAATTTCAGAGTGCTACTGAGCAGGATCGGGGACTCTGCACTGTCCCCAGTGCGCAGCAGCGTGACCTTCAGACCACGGAGAGCAGGGCTGCTGGAGCGGCCAACCTGGGGAGGGCCAGGCTGGGAGGCGTGGGCACAGCTCCTGGTCCCGCACGCCCACCATATGGCCTGGGTTCACCATGGCCTGTGGGGCACAGGGGCGAGCATCCTTCTGAGCTCCTCTCTTCACCTGCTCCAGATCTGGGCCAGCACCTGCCAGTCTGCCTTATGAATGCTGTGATTCACACTCCTGCCCCGGGATCCTACAGAGAGCCCTGTGCAGGTACAGCATTATCTGCAGGCAGCAGAGCATCAAGAAGCCCCCAGCATGTATTGGGGCAGGGGCTGAACAGGGCAGAGCCCACCTGCCAGCTCCCTCTTGGTGGCGGGGTGAGACCCTCACAGAGGTCCCAGGCACCTGGGCGAGCCGGTGTCACCCACCCTGAGGGGCAAGCGTGGGTAGCGAGGACACGCCATCCCTCCCCGCTGCTGTTTGCCTTCTCAAGATGATTAACTGAAACCAAACAGCCGGAGGAAATGGCAAACAGAGCAAAGGGCAGGAGCCTCTTTTCCAGCTGGCCCGTAACCCAATATTTGCAGAGCCGGCCCAGGCTCCGGGCACGCTGGCAGAAGCCGGACGGACTTTCATCTCGCAGCGCCGCTCTGCCGACGCGCTGCCCGGGGGCCGGCGGGCCCGGCGGGGAGCTCCTGGCCGTATCGGCTCCGGTCTCGGGCCCTCGGGGCGGGGCAGGGCCGGGTGCCCTGGCGGCGCTCGGAGCCCTCCAGCTCCGGCTGCTGCCCGCACCGCGCCCCGTCCCCGCCCGGCGACGCTAGGTGGCAGCCGGCGGCCAGGAATGCCCCGCTGCGGAGCGGAGCGGAGCCGGGCGGCGCCGTGCGGGCAGCGTCACCGCCGTGTACGGGCTGTGGAGCTCCGCTCCTCGACCGCCCGCCCCGTGCCGGGAGAGATCGGGGAGCGGAGCGGCCGCCAGCCAAACGAGCGCTGCTGAGAACGCGCCCGCCGGCCCCATCCCTGTCCCCGCGGCTGCGGTCGCTCCGGGACCGCCAGGGACGGCGGTGGCAGCCCCTATCGGCTCGCCGTGCCGCGGGTTGGGGCAGCGGGACGCGGGGCGCTCCGGCAGCGCTCGGGACCGCGGGGCTCCTGCGGGAGCTGCGGGCGGCTGCCGGCCGGCAGGAGGGGCGGCCAGAGCCTCGGTTTGGACAGAAACCAAATGCGGGGAGAAGCCGCCACGAAATTCCTGCGGACCGAACCCTCGGGCGCTGCCGCTCTGCCTCCGGCCTTCCTTCTGCCTGCTCCGCTCGGCTCCGGCTGCTCTCCTGCAGGCCCTGCCGGCGTCTCGCAGTGCCGGCGGTTCCTGGCATCAGGCGGGCCCTGCAGGATAGCGGCTGCTGGGATCCGGCGTACAACTGTGTGTCTGCAGGGACTGCGTGCGCTGCCCTCCTCTCCCGCTCCCAGCAGACCCTGTGAATCTCAGCATTGAGGAGGCCTCATCCTTTCAGTGTCCCTTTGCAAACCTGCTGTCCCTAGGCTCATCCTGTCTTTTTCTGGTCCTGCCAGCAACAAGCCCTGCAAGCTCAAAACTCTCCATGTAAAGAAGTTATATCTTTTTTTCTCTGTTTTCAGCCCATCTCCTTACTCCAAGGGCTATTGGAGTATTACAGTCAGTGTTACAACCTCACGCTCCGCTTTGTCCACCACTCCTGATCACTCATGATTTTGCAGCCATATCTGCCCTTGGCCTTCCCATGTCCTAATAGGATGCTCTCGGCCTCTCTAGGCTCCTCTCACCCATCAGGCTCTTCATCTCATCAGTTATCCCAGAGCAAGTCTGAAGAAAGTTGACTCCTCATCTCTTCCTTCAGCTGTGTGAACAGGAACTCAAGCCCACAGCACCCATGGTTTCCTACATATCAAAACTCTTTCCATCTTGTTCCCTTTCTGATCACACAGCATTTTGATGATTGCTTTTGGCTGTTCTGCCCATTAACAGTCATCTGAAATCAGATCAGTGGTGGCTCCCAGTTCTCCTGAGGCTAACCACCTTCTGACTCGGTGCTTTAAGGGATATCCTTCAACCATCTTCTGTTGTACATTCGGTTTTAGCTTTTTAGTCTCCGGTTTCCAGCTGACCTGACAGTTCTCATGGGCTTCCCTGTTCTCTCCTAGGCAAGATTTCTCTTTCCAAAACATTGGTGTTTTCTGTAGCGCCTCCATTTAACTCTCCAGGAAAGGGTTGTTGAACCACTTCATTTTTCCCTTTTGAATGGTGGCATTTTACCCAAGCTCCTCACACCCCGTGTAACACCCTGTAGCCCATCTTTAGGGCCTTGAGATTTGTGCTTTTTGGGGGTAGTGTTCCCGGATTTTACATAGAGCCCTCCCTGTCCTCCCAAACTGTTAAACCCAGCCGTGCTGTGCTTTTTAGTACTGCACAGTTCCCCAAGCACTCAAGATCCAGAGCAGATCTTTTGCTGTGGATTACAGACCCAGGAGACATTTCCTGCATCCACATTTCCTGCAGCCGACCCGGCCGTGCTGGCAGTGCTGTCCATCCCACTTGGCCTGAGCTCTGATCTCGCTTTGTGTTTCTACACAACTTCCTCTTCTCATCATGTGCAATCTCAATTTTACGTTTTTGTTATCAGTCTGGGGTTTTCACCTACGAGGATTCCTTGATGCACTTTTCCCTGCTACCTTTTGTGGTTTCACCCTACATTACCCACCTCCCTTCTGTACCCCTCTGTCACTCCTATGCAGCTGGTAGCAGCTCTCTGCTGTTTCACTCATCCCTCAGCCTCCTTCTGCCAGGCCCCATCCCAGTGCATGATGCTGCTATGTGATACCAAGCTCTCCATTTCCCCTTGTGCATCCAGCATCAATCTGGAAGCATTTGCATTTGTGCCCTGCGTCGTGGACCAGGGAGGGAAGTGACTCATCTGACTGGGGCGGCAATGGAGCAAGGTCTCAGGATGGCGGTGGCAAGGCTGGAAGGTGTTTCAGCATCCTTGGGTCAGGGTGCCCGGATGCCTGGCTGTTTGTCTCCAGCCAGAACCATCAACCCAGGCATCTCCACGCCCAGCAACGTGAGGACATCTGTCCATCCGCCTGCATGCATCTGCAGGTCATTCTCCTGGGGCTGTCCCCTCCCCCCCCCCAGCCCCGAGGGTCTTCCACAGGCGAGCTGGCAGCGAAGCATCGCTGTCCCCATCGCTGTCCCCATCGCTGTCCCCATCGCTGTCCCCGCCGCGGCGTGGCCCCAGCCGTGCAGATGGCTCCGGCACCGCGCCGGGTCGCAGCCTCCACCCTCACGTGCGGTGCTTTTTGTGTCCCCCTCTCTGCGTGCCGCCCTCACCCCACCCGTCCCTCCCCGCCACCGCTCGCGCCCCCCTCGCAGCCCCCACCAGAGCCAGCCACACACACAAGTGAACTTTTCTGCGTTTTCCAGCAATTAAAAAGAATAAAGCAACAGTTGTCTCCAGGCAGGGCATGGATCCTGGTGACCCTGATTTTCTGTGTGGCTGGGCAGGGTGAATGGGGCTATTGAGACCCCGATGACTGGCATCTCCACTCCAGGATTGTCTCCCCGTCCAAGTCCCCCTCCCCGCGCACTCCTCCTCCCCACCTCCTCCCCGCTTTTAATTTCCTTCCTGGAGAGAGCTGCTCATCCCCTTCCCATTGGCCAAGGGCCTGAAAGGGAATGGAGGAGACAAGGGAAGGATTAAAGACACTCTGCTTAGGAGCGGGCAGCCTGAATACGAGATGCACCAGGCTGGGAAAGAATGGGGGCTTAGTGGGGCACCAGATCAGACCCGCCCCGCCGCATTCAGCCCGCCGCATTCCTGCATCTCTAAGCAGGGTCCTTTCTCCCCAGCCAGCCCGAGGAGACCACCGGCCCCCGCCCTACCTGCCCTGCAGGTGAGCCCTGTCCCACCCGACTACCTGGGCCCATCCCACTGGACCACCCTCAAGCAAAGGTGCCCAAGACCAAGCTGAATGGGGCGCTGGGAGCCTGAGCTGGTGGGGGGCATCCAGCCCATGGCAGGGGGTGGTGCTGAGGGGGGCTTTCAGGACCCTTCCAAACCAACCGTGCTGTGATTCTGTCATTCTCCTGCCCTGCGCCACCCGTGTGCGGGTGATGAAGGGCTTGTGTCAGGCAAGGAGCAGAGAGCAGCAGCTCCATGCAAGTCACCTGGTCAGAGAGTTCCGGACTGGTGCATGCTGCCTCTGCCCAAGGCTGATGCCCTGATGGCAAACTGCAGCAGTACGTCCTGCTCTGTGTTGCCACTGGGTTGGATTGCTGCTTCATGCTTGCACACAGAGATTTCCAACAGAAGGGGTGGAAAAACCCCTCTCCTCTGTTAATTGGAGTTTGAGGCTGACACTTTCTGTTTGGAGCTGTTTCCTTTGCAGGATGGGGGAGGCTGTTCTTGGAATCCTCTCGAGGTCCCTGCTGGCGTTCATCCCAGAGAACTCTGTTTCTTGGGGGAACACATCCCCGGTGGAGCCCAGCAAGGGTTTTCCAGGCCAAGAATCTGGAGGCCTGCAGTGCAGGGCAGGGACACGGTGGGTCAGCAAAGCTCAACAGCCCTAAAGCATCAGCTCTGAAAGCATGCAGGGATCCGGTGCTGTTAGGAGCACCCTGGGAGCCCAGGTTCCCATGCAAGGACACAGTTTGCTATGCTACACACACAGATTTGTGGCCTTTCACTGTGAGGACAGAGTTCTGAGCTCTCTTGTCCCATGTCCCTTACAGAAGCTGGTGCCATTCTCTGTTCTGTTTTCCAAGGCCTGTCCCACCTGTCACCACCTCCCACCCTAGATCTCTTGCTGACCTATGCTATCTGACAGCCCCACCTCAGTGCCCTGTGCAGCCCAGAGCCACGCAGTGCTGTGATGGGCAGCATGGAGCCCTGGTGACCACACAACCACAGCTGCAGGACTGTGCTGGGGCACGGCCCAGTCCATGGAGAAGGCGCATCACTGTGATCTCAGTCACCTTCCAGACTCTTGACTGCATTGATTCAAGC